GATTTTGGGATAATTAGAAAAATGTATGGGAAATAAAAGACCCCCTACCTACCTGACTCTATACACAAAATTAATTATTAATTGACCATAACTTTAGATGTAAGTGAAAGAGACTCAAAGTTTCTAGAAAAAACATAAAGAAATTATTTTATACAAATAGGGTTGAATAATATTTTTGATAGGAGCCAAGAAGCAATAGCCATAAAAGAAAAAAATATATAAACTGGGATTTCTAAAAATCAAAAACCTAAGCTCACCAAATAATACAATTTAAAAAAATAAACAGGCAAAACATAAGCTGTTTTGCTTAAAACAGCTTAAAACTGTTCCAGTTTTAGGCTAAGTGCATATGGTTTTTTGCATCAAACGAATAAGGTATAAGCATACATCAGTATGTTCATAAAATAACTTTTATCTAATAATAAAAAGGAATACACTCCTAGTATCCCAAATAAGAAGATTTAATGTCAAAAAGTTTATGTTGAGCAAAAGGAATGAATTAGAAATGATTATATACAATAGGATTTCATTTATATGAATTCTAAGACAGGCAAAGGTAATCTGTATATTGAAATCAACATGTGGTTGCTTCTGCAAAGAAGACAGAGATTAGCTAGCAAGGGGCATGAGGGGACTTTCTGGAATAATAGATCTTTCTCTTTTGTTTCAGGTGATAGATATAGTAGTGCATACAATTGTGCAAACTAATCAGCTAAATGTTTCAGTTGTTTTTTTAATAGTATATGCATCAATTAAAATCAGTGATTATATATTTTAAATAAATATATCTTTTCCATATTTTAGACAGTAGACATTTTGCTGACATTTAAAAAATATGTTTCTAAATAAGTATTCTGTTTTATCTTATATTTTGCTTTTTGTTCTGTATATGTCTTTTATATAGATTTATAAACATTCTTCAGATGATTGCATAAGCCATAAAACAATTTTTAGTGTGAAGATTAATAATGATTTTAAATATTTACTGGCAATATTTCATCTAGAAACTTACTAAGTTTTATTAAAGAATGTTTTATTCAAATACTGTGAAGGTTAAATTTACCTTGATGATTAAGATGTACAATTTCCTTCTTATGTTACAGAAAAATTTTTAAAAAGAAAATTCCTAATAGTTTATTAATTATAAATTCAAACAATGCAACACACTCTTTGTTTTGTGAACACTTCTTTTCTTATATAAGAAGACATAGGTATTTTCACTTTTTTATTATATAGAATTAAATTTATTTCTTCTTATGGACGACTAGAAGCCAAGTTCAGTTGCTTTAAAATCAGAAGTAGATTTAGAATAGAAGTAACATATAACTTCTTGAAGTTTTTTAATTCTTCTAGCAAATCTGTTGACTGATTAATTCTATACTGTATTTTTTATTTTTTTATTTTGGCATATTATGGGGGTGCAAATTTTAAGGTTTCAATAAATGCCCTTTACCCCCTCCCCCTACAAGTCTGAGTTTCCAGCATGACCATCCCCCAGATGGTGCACATCTCACTCATTATATATGTATATACCCATCCCCCTCCCCCCTCCCACCTGCCCAATACCCTATTACTGTAGTACCTATGTGTCCACGTAGGTGCTGCTCAGTTAATACCAGTTTGCTGGAGAATATATCTGGTGCTTGTTTTTCCATTCTTGGGATACTTCACTTAGTAGTATGGGTTCCAGCTCTATCCAGCAAAATACAAGAGGTGCTATATCACCATTGTTTCTTAGAGCTGAATAGTACTCCATGGTATACATATATCACATTTTATTAATCCATTCTTGGATTGATGGGTACTTGGGCTGTTTCCATAGCCTTGCAATTATGAATTGTGCTGCTATAAACATTCAAGTGCAGATGTCTTTTTTGTAGAGTGTCATTGGATCTTTTGGGTAGATGCCCAGCAATGGGATTGCTGGATCAAATGGTAGATCCACTTGTGTACTGTATTATTTAGAGTATGAACTCTCTGTGCACAAAGCTATTTCCCTAACTTGTATGTTAGCGAATATGTACAGCGTAGTTGTAATAGTGATGACAATAACATTGTCCTGATTTTAATTTCTTGATGCTTCTTGGTATTTTTAAATCTCTGGCCTCACAAAAATTATCTGATAATATGGGGAAAAGTAGGGTGCCAAATTTATCCAGATGGCAAGTAAAAATAACCAGTAATTTCCTCATTTGTTTGGAAATATGCAATCATTTGCTATTGTAAATACAGCAAAGATTTTTTTCCCAATAAGAGTGCATGAAAAATAATTTTTATGTAGTATGTTAATTAATAAATTGTCACATAATTACAGAAGCTTCCTTTAAGAAAAAAAATCTAAAAATGATTAAAATAGAAACAATGTTCTTCATTCTTGAAACACTTTCTTCCTTTGACTCCTGCAAATAAAAACTCTCCAAGTTCTTGATAGAATTATATAAATCTGTTTATCAATTACAAAAGCCAATTGCTCAAAATTTATTATTTAGAATAGTTTCTCTCTAGCTTTACCTTTTATTTTTAGCATGATTAAGTACCTTATTTAATATTATAGGCATTCATAAGTGTGTATTACATATTAAATATATCATTACAAAATTGAACAATCTTCAATTGACATCTAGATTCATCAACTATTACCGATCTATATGATAAACCAATATTATAGAAAAACTAGGAATTTCCATCCACTCAATCTAAATATAATATTTTGAAGGGCACTATAGTGTTTTAATTTCAAAGTAGAGTATGGAAAAAGAGAAATGAAATATTAACAATTTCATTGAGAAGTCATTCTACAGGAAAAACATAGTGTTGGAATTTTGGAGGTTGGAAGCCAAAAATTTAGAAGCTGATGTTTTACAAAAATGATGGATTAGCCAAAACAGAACTGAAGAATATAACTAAAAAATGGTGGAACATTATATCTTTTGAGCAAATTCGATAAAAGTCATTAATTCTATTTTATGAATCTGTCAACATGTTTTGTTGACCAGATGTGGTCTTTAAGGACCTGAGCTCCACAGTATAGACTGCATCCACTCTATTCCACTCTCCTCCTCATATAAGCAATAGATTTTCTTTTCAGTGAGTTAAGGAGGTCCATTATTTTTCTGTGGTACACAAGTATTTTTATATTTATTTGAGAGGTGAGCCATAGCTTCCATTTTCATATCTCTCTTATACTGCTCAACTCCAATTTATCCTTTTTCTAAGGTCTCTAATAACATAGGACTACATATTTTTGTGCCCCATTACAAATATTTGAGTAGTTAAACCAGAATATTTTGTAATTTATAATAAGAAAATAGAAATAAATTGTGCACAACCAAGGCTAGAGAAAGGTCAAAATATATCAGGCATTGTGTTGACAATCTTTGGGACCAGATAGGGAACATAAAAAAATATTTTTTTCCCTAAGGATGAATGTGATACAAGGAAAAAATGTGTGAGGACTGTTATGATTCCCAATTAAAGGAACTTGTCTGATATTTACTGTGGGTAAGCAATTTAAATTACCTCTCAGTTATTTCTCTTTGAGTTAAAAGCTTATTTTAGGGTATAGTGGGTGGTGGTAGAGTCAAGTAGAACAATATCAGCGTCATGAAATTGGCACTCAGTGAAGGATTCTATAACATGGTCTGTGACAGTTGTTTGATAAAAGTTATGTCATGGTAAAATGGTCATTCCTACCCACATTTTGGCAGAGGAAGAATTGTAAAAAGTTTTTCTCAATACTACCTACTCTGTTCTGTGATATTGGTAGAATATTATATTTTTGCCCTTACTCCTGTAAATGTGGCCACTCAGTAGTATAGTTTGTGCTCCAGTGGAAATTTTAGAAGTGCAAGTTGGACTTTTAGAAAGGGTTTCTGTGAATATGGGAGGTATTTTGTGTCAAAACTGGAGAGCCAATTTCCACAAACATCAATCAAGCATGATTTTAAGGGAGACATTGCTGGTTATGTGAATATTTTAAAAGAACGTACTCCGGAGAAGACAAGCATAAGTAATCTTGTTTTTGAAACATAATGACTTTGATAATAAGAAAAACATAGTTGGTCTTGTCCCCTGTTCCTGACACAGAGCTTCTAAAACCCCCTATAATTTCCTGGGTGACAGAAACACTTTTCATGGACCTATGATAGCTTCAGGAAGGGGACTGATCACCGGTCACTGAAAGAACAAGACATGGTTAGAGGTTTGGAAATTTGTCTCCACTCTCTGATCTCCAGGGAGAGAAGAAAGCATGGAGATTGAGTTAATCACCAATGGCAATGATTTAAATAATTATGCCTACATAATGAAACTTCTACAAAAATCCCTAAAGGACATGAGTCAGCAGAAAGCTTCTGTGAACACAGCAAGGTGCTGGGAGGGTGGCACTCCCTAGTAGAGCAGGTAAATTCCACACTCACCCCTTGCCCTTACATATCTCTTCCATTTGGTTGTTTCTGAGTTGTGTTCCTTATAACAAACCAGGAATAGTAAGTAGAATGTCTTCTTGAGGCAGTGTGAGGTGGAGGCAGTAATTAACTCCTGGTATTTAGTGTCAGAATTGTAGGACATCTAGTTGGTATCCAGATACTTAGAGAATTGGTTGATGGGAGTAAAATTCCCCACATATTTGCTGTCAGAAGATTTGTGATTAAAAACAGTTCCTAGTGACTAGGATCCCGGAGCCAGATAGCCTGGGTTCATATTCCATTCCCATCACTTTCAAACTGTGTTGATTTGGAGGATTTGCTTAATTGTTTCGTGGCTCACATTTGTTATTGACAGGGTTATTATGACCACTAACAATGAAAAATGCTTTGAGTCATGGCTGGCATTAAATAATTCACCACCAATGTTATATACTATTACTATGATAAATTGACACCACATTGACATGGATATAATCTTTTCAATTTCTTCATTGTTGAGAGAAAATTCTCCATGTTATTTATGCATATTGTCGATTAGAAAAGAGTCATAAAGTTAGCAAAAATTGAGGAGAACTTTATTTCTAAGGGTTTTATGTCCTGCAGATGGGAAGCAAGCCTCTGGTCAGAACCGTAAAGCTACACTTCAAAGAGGAGAAAGTGGACGTAGGTATATGTGCTAGAAAGAGAAGTAGTGCATACATATTGAATAGGATATAGGAGAAGAATATGAATATTCATAGAGGAAGTCCTCATGCATGTGCATTAGGGTTACATACATGTAACACGAGAATATATGACCCATATTCACTTTGGAATGGAAATTTAACATTTAAATGCATTATAATTAGCCTTCCTTATATGTAAACAGTGAAATTCAGTGTACAAGTTGATGAACTGGACATTCTCAGAAGACCAGCCAAAACCAGTCCGCAATCAGCAGTCATCCTTTAAAAAACTGCTTTGAGGTCTAGGGGAGCTGATGTTTCAGAACCACAGGAGCAGGGTGTCTGCGAATTAAGCAAAGTGTCAGGTGAATTAAGCAAAAAGTCTTCTGGCCTTTTGTTTTTCTCAAATTGTCCATTGATAAAGTCTGGTAATTCTTAGTGAAGGGTGGAAGTAAAAGTGAATGAGATGTGACCATCCTCCTATCTTGCTTTAAATTTAGTATCTCAGCCAGGAAAGGGTTCATTAGTCTGATGGAGGGTTTGGGACCTTTATTTTAGTCCTCAATGTCTTATATCAATTTTGTTCTAGAATATCTTTTTAAAAATATTCATACAGCAAATACATTTAGAAGATAGATACAGTGCCTCCCTTCAGAAGATACACTAGATTTGTTTCCTGACTAGGATAGGATAATGTTTCCCTCTCAAGCAAAATTTGGACAGGTTTGCTAGTAGTTCTTTTAAAAGACTGGCGGGTTTCTTAAACTTGAGGTTCTTCAGCTGTGACATAACCCCACCATGTGTGTAGCACTTGTGGAACATACAAGAATGGGAAAATCATTTTCTTTGCTGCATTGTATTAATGAATAATAAAGTCCTTTGCCTCTGATCCAGAAGTCTTGAATATTTTTCCAGCTTTTATGAAACTGTGGTAGGCTACGTTGCTAACTTGCAAGTAGGCTAAATATATCAGATTTTTCATAGTACTTGGCACTTGATAACTCAGGTTTGGCAGAAATAAGGGTGAGTCTTTAGCCCTTTAAAGGTGTGACAATCAGGAAATGTAGTAGAATGCATTAATATTAATATTTAGCAAATATTCATTTTCTTCCATCCTCTGTGGGAAGAGTGTACTTTCCCACTCAAATGATCCTGTGTTTATCTATACAATTTACTTTTTGTGACTACTGTGTGAATAGAAGCTATAGATGTGCTTGTGTGGGTGAATTTTAGCTCTTGCAATCTCATCTTCTACCACAAGAAGAGCATGTCCAACTCCTAGTAGGCCCAGAATGCAGCAAGAAATGAAAATGACTTAAAATCAGCCTTTGGCTTAAAGTGAAGTCCAGCTGCTCTCAGCGAATATCATCTGGATCCATTCAAGCCCAGCTGAAAAACATCTGGTAGACAGAAATACAAGAGAAAAATTAAGTTTGTTGTTAAAGCCACTAAGATATGCGGCCATACCAAAAAGTATGCATTAAGTCCTGAGTAGTAGACATTGATCCCAGAAATCATTGGATAGCTCTGATTTCTCCAAAAATGTTGTCACCTCACCGTAATTATTTTTAACTGCAAGATCAAAATTCCCTCTATGAGGAAAATGTGTAATTGGAATATAATCTTTATTTGCTTAAGATAATCATGATAAGAGCCTTAGTACTACAACTTAGCTCTGTTGTAGGTCATTAAAATATGCAACTTACCACCTAGTTTTTACTGTGTGAAGAGAATGAGCTTTCAGAAATGGCTTTTATACTCTTTTTTCTACCTCAAACTTTTTCAGAAACTTGTTCAAAACCCAAATTTAGGCTATCACAATCTAGTGCTGCATATATCTCTTAAGATGTACACATTGCATCTCCACAATTAGCACATTTCATCAGAGGATGCTTTTGTTTGAAAAAATGTTTTCTACAAATATAATTTTATCAATATGTTGTACAGATACATTCATGTGTGTATACACATGCACACAATACAACTTCTATATTTCTAACTAATAATTGTTGGAGATAATGATGAACATTAGCAAAGTGTTTAGCCAGGGGACATAGGAATAGCTAAACCTGACTCCTGATGAGCAATCCTTTTTCTTAAGTCCTGTGAAGGTGCTATGGACTTAATGTGCCCTCCTTCAAAATTTATATGTTGAAATATAAATGTGATGGCATTAGGAGGTGGGGAAGTTGGGAGGTGATCAAGTTATGAGAAGTAGAGTTCTTATGAATGGGATTAGTGCCCTTATAAAAGAGAGTCTCCGGAGCTCTCTAGCTCTCTTCCTGCCACTTGAAGGTACACCAAGAAGTCAGTCTTCTGCAACCCAGAAGAAGGCAGTCACCACAACCTAACCATGCTGGCATCCTGACCTCGGACTTCCAGCCTCCACAACTGTGAAAAAAAAAAATTCTATTGTTTATAAGCCACACAGTCTATGGTACTTTATAGAGTAGCCCAAACTAAGACAGAGGAAATAATATTCTACAAGGAAATAGTGAGAAAAGCAACAGCTGAGTCTTTAACCCCAATTCAGAATGTACAACATGCCACTTCTCCAAGTTCCTCTAAAAACTCACCGTTTATCAGATTATAAATTCACCAGACATTGGCTACATTTCTCTAAAGGTGGAAAAACAAAATCCTGTTCTGTTGTTTTCCTTTTTCCTATTGTGGCAGTAATGATTTATAGTTGTTAGTTTCTAACTCTCTGACAAAGAATAAAAGAAACTAAGGAATCTTAAGTTAGTGGAGCAGAAACTATGACTCCTCTCAGTTTACACTGCCAGTGCTACAGGATGAAGCGATCCATCTCTGCCTGGTTTTAGGGCATATTGCCTTGGCCCTAGATATGACTAACATTGTTTCTGGACTTATGGTGACCAGAGGTGATGTTGAAAATAGTTTTTTTTCTCCAAATTAGCTCTAACATCCAGAAGCAATGATATTCCTGCTATCTGAGGTCACTGAAGAACATGATCCTTAAACCTAAAAAAGGAATCCATCATGAGCCATTACCAGACTCCTACCATTATCCACGACTCAAAGTGTTTTCCAGAGATCAGCAGCATTACCTACACCTTGGAGCTTTTTTTAGAAACACAGAATCTCAGGCTCCACCGGAGACATACTGAACCACAATTTAAAATTCAAATTTAAATCAAAATTTAAACAAAGTTTTCAAGGGGTTTAATTACACACTAAGTTTAAGAAGCACTAGTCAAGTAGACTTCTTTTAGTGCAAGAAGATTGTCTTTGATCTGGGACCTCTCCACAGCCAACGCTGATAAACTAATTGCCAGGCACTCAGCATTGTGCAATAGAAGTGTGATGATAAGATATTATTTATCTGTGCTTTCCAATATGGTAACTGCTGGTAACACACAGCTTATTGAACATTTGAAATATGGCTAGTGTGATGAAGAAAGGGGTTTTTAGTTTTATATTATTTTAGTTAATAAAAATGTAATTTTAGATAGTCACATATTGCTAGTGGTTACTGTGTTGCTATTTGAGGGTCTCTAGACAATACTGTATTGTCTTCCTGTTAATAACAGAAACTTCTTAGTTCATTCAATATATTGCAAAGTTTTGTGGTAAGAGCATGAACACAGGGATTCAGATAGAGTTCAAATAACACATCACCTCAGCCATTTACAAACTTTGTGATCTTAGGTAAATTTCTTAACCTCTTATGCTTCTCTTAATAAGATAATAACATTTATTTACCATTTTACAATTAAATGAAATATTTCATTTAAATATTATTTTATTTAATATGAAATAATAAATTATTATTTCATTTATTATTTCATGTTAAATGAAATAATAATTTAAAGCCATTAGAGCAGTGTTAGGGAAATAGTACTGCTATTATGATAAATATATGTTTGTTAAATTACTAAATATCCCACTAGGTCTGACTGTGGAAGAATCATAAACACTAAAAGATGAGTTTTAACTATTTTTCCACATACAATCATCACATTTCTCCCCAAAAAGTGTTGAACTCAGTTGATACAAACATTGATAGGAAATGAAGCAATGTTGTAAAGAAATGCATGAGAAAATCTTCAGATTTGAGAAGAGTTTGAAAAAAATTCTCCTGAAGATATCTGTCATCTGGGTTGAGAATCATTGCCCTAGAGATCTCTTTAAATTCTTAACTCCAGCAGATATATTAATTGCCCTGTTTAAGCCTTGTTTAATTACAGCAACCAGGGACACCTGGATCTTGCTGTTAAACAGCTTGCTGTATCTCAAGTTCTCCTGGAGGCATGAATTTAGCAAAATGCCCAGGAAAAAAGTTTAAATTAAATATTGGCTGGGTCTTAGGCCCCATACTCCAAAGCAAGCTTTTAACTTGTGTATACCAGATAAAATCACTTACTTATTCAGACGAGGTAGGCTTCGATGGCCTCTTTCATTATAGGTCTTTTGCTAGATTCTGCTTAGTAAAATAGGATATGCAGAGCTGGGAATCCATTTTGTCCAAACTAAGAGGAAGCCCCAGGGACCTTTACCTCAGTGGAATAAAGGAATGCTGTAACTCTCTGCTATGTTTTGTGTGTATGTGGCAGAAGCAAAGAAAAATAGAATAAGAAAAAAGTAAAATGAGAGAGATGGCATACACCTTTTTTTGGGCAGGAGATAATACCCCTCAAGGGTCCCACTTCTCCAGCTTTTAAGCAGAAAGCAAGACTGAGGTGAGACTATATTCAAGTACGCTTGACTTTTAACTGGAAAACTGGCCTTTATTTATTTATTTAACAGGTTTAGGGGCTACAAGCATTTTTCATTACATGGATGGATTTTATAATGCTGAAGTCAGGGCTTTTCGTGTACCCATCTCCAGAATACTGTGCATTGTACCTGGAAGGTAGATTTTTATACCTCATCCCCCTCCTGTGCTCCTCATTTCTTAGTTTGTAATATCAGTTACACCACTTTATGACCATATATACCCCTTGTTTAACTCCCACTCATGTTGAGAACATGTCATATTTGCAGTATTTGTTTTTCCATTCCTGAGATACTTCACTTAGAATAATAGTCTCCAGTTCTATTCAAGTTGCTGCTAAAGACATCGTTTCATTCCTTTTTATGGATGAGTAGTAAGTACTCCATGGTCTGTGTGTGTGTGTGTGTGTGTGTGTGACACCACATTTTCTTTATCCACTCATCAGTTTATGGGCACTTAGGTTGATTTTGTATCTTTGGAATTGTGAATTATGCTGCAATAAACATTTGGGTGCAGGTGTCTTTTTGATATAATGACTTAGTTATTCTTAAAGGCTTTTAGCACATTGAGTATAATGGGCCTCTATCTTTAATATAGATTGCAAATATTTCCTAATTTGTGTTTATTATCAATTTTAAACATTTTGGCATAAATAAGCTTGAAATTTTATGTAATCAATCTTTGCTTTATATTAATTCCTTATTTTTTATTTTTCCTAACTGAAATGTACCCTTTGACCATCACTCTTATTTTTACACATTGAAAGGTATTTGATCAATCCTAAATTAGGAAAATAGTGATCTATATTTACCTATACTTTTGTTCTTTGTGTTTTTTAATAATTATATCATTAAGCAATTAAGAATGTATTTGTTGTATGATTTGAAGTAAGACTCTTTGGCAAAGCGTGTTTGGTACCATGCAATATAAATTACAGCTTTCTTCTTCAATAAGAGAACACAAAATTTATTTGAGGATGGCAAACTTTACAGTTAAACACCTATATATACTTTCCTTGCAGCTAAGGAGAGTCATATAAATAGAACATACATGTAAGACCTGATTAAAAATATGATGTTGGACTTTTAGGGGGCTGGTTAAGTGGAGTTGACTCAGTTAGACAGCACATTCCTGCTGTCTCTGACTTTAATTTATTGCCACATAGATCATTCTATTCTTTTTTTCATTACTTTTCTAAAACCTCCCACTGTAACAGTAAGAAACCTGGCTTCTACCATCTGCCATCCATTTATTAATTGTTTAATTTAAGTATACATGTATAATGATTTCAGAATTGTGAATCCTTACACTGTGAGAAAGAACTTAACAACTAGTACCCAGTGTTTGTATCTAATTCCTTTTGCCTTTAGTCTTATAGTCTTTATCCATTTCCAAATTTACTTAGGTCACCTCTTCCTGCCCCCACACTAAACCTCCTTCAGTGAGATTATTTCATTCTTTGGTAAAACAATAAGATTCTTTTGTCACAGTCTTCATTACATTTTCAGATTTCCAAACTGGAGAATATTATTGTAAGTGAAATAAGCCAAGCACAGATATCTTAAACTGTTCTACTAGTTTCAACAAATCCATAATCTCATGTATCTACCAATATATATCATTGAGCTTAGTTTTACTGCCCTAAAATTTTTCTTCTGTGTA